ATCGCTTCAGAAGGAGCATATGTTAAAGGAGATAAAATAAATTTGGAATAAAATTTAAATTTGTGTTTTATTTACAAAATCCGAGTATTTTTTGAGCAGAAGGTAGTTGAATTTCGACAAATTAAAAATATTTTTTTTTATTCCATTTGTTGGTTATTCCTCAGGGAACAACTTTAACTTAAGGATGTGTGCCTTGTAAGGACACAAGGCATAATTTTTGATGTAAGTTAAAAATTCATATTTTATTTACTCTCAAAAGATACCTACAAGGAGTTCGGTACTTGCGTATAAATTCATAATGAAGTAGAATCTCAATTGGGCACATAATTCGCCTATGAATTTTAATTAAATTTCGCAACAAAATTAACTTTTAAGTGGAAAGTACCTTCGCTTAATAGCAGGTTTTACTGTACTCTGAATTTTGTCGTAAAACATTTATAATTGAGCACTTATTTCAATTAAGTATTTCAATATCCGTAATAATTTGTTAATGTAGTGGAATTTCAATAAACGCCTTAAAATTGTTTTGTTCGTTATTATCCTTTGGTAGAAAAGTGCGATTGTTTGGCTCAAGGATATTATTTGTGTGAAGATATTGAGATGAATGCTTTGTTTGTTAATTGTTTGCAAAAGTTTTTTGTTATATTGAACACTGCATTATTTATCTTTTTGAGTTTAATTTGCAAATGACATTCATCATTATGAAGGTCCTTGCAATTACGCAAATTGGATTTTGTGAAAATGCTTTTTATGAGAAAAGAATCGAGAGTTCATCGAGAGGAAAATCTTTCTTAATTGTTTTTAAATCATACCATTTTCATATTGTTAATGCATCTGGCTTTTAATTATCCTCTCCACTTTAAAATGATTATAAAATGTAATTAATAATTTTTGTTTAATTATAGAAACCTATTATCACACATGTTTACAATGAATTATTAAATTATATTCATTATGAGGTTTTAACATATGTTTACATGAGGTTAGGTTCTTGTGACTACAGATCTACGTATCAGTGTAGTCTTTTAGGTCCATGTGAAACTACTTTAAGAACTGTGTGAGACTTTAAGAACTGTTGGTTATAGAACCGTTTCGAAGTCCTAATAGAAAGCAAAATATATTTAATAGATTATATGTTACTAACCACGAAATGAGAAATGTACTTTCTTTGGAGATTTAATAATTGCCCTGAGATTGTATATAAAATTTTCGATCTTTTTTTATAGACCAGTGATGATTGAGATTTTTATAAGCATAGGCCAACGCACTTTTAATTTTTTATCCCACTTAAGGAAATGTCAAGTTAGGTGCTTCCGCAAAGCAGGTAAGACTTCATCAAGTTATTTTACAAGTCACTGCAAGCTGTGGTATTACTAAACGAGATTGGGATTTACCAACATTGATATCTGTCTTTTAATTGTAACGGTCATCACATATGCGATATGTTGTACGCTTCACTGCAAGCTGCTTTACTACTTAAGTAGGATGAGACTAACTCAGATCGGAGAGATCGGAGATATTAATATTCTTTGAGAATACAGAATTATGAAACTGCTGCCTTAAACTCACCAATGTGGTTACCACACCTGCCAGTGGTACCTAACTGCCAGTGGATGAGACTAACTCAGATCGGAGAGATGGATATTCTTTGAGATTACAGAATTATGAAACTGCTGTCTTAAACTCACCAATGTGGTTACCACACCTGCCAGTGGTACCTAACTGCCAGTGGAGGAGACTAACTCAGATCGGAGAGATAGATATTCTTTGAGAATATAGAATTATGAAACTGCTGTCTTAAACTCACCAATGTGGTTACCACACCTGCCAGTGGTACCTAACTGCCAGTGGATGAGAATAACTCAGATCGGAGGTATAGGTATTCTTTGAGAATACAGAATTATGAAACTGCTGCCTTAAACTCATCAATGTGATTACCACACCTGCCAGTGTTGAGAAGAATAAGCAGAAAATAAAAGTTCTAGTGCTCATCTTTAATTCTCAACACAAAAAAAAATTAATTATATAGTCGATTTACTATTTTCATTATATTGAAAGTTATGTCAAAATATTTAATAATTATTGTGAATCAAAAATATGTAAATAAATTATTATGTGGAAGAAATTTCGATTTTATGCATATGCATTAATCACTTCATATTAAGCTTCAAAATTACTGCTATTGCCTTTTACAACACTGAAATCATTATGTATTTTGACATTTTGGGGTTGATTGTAAATAATTAAAATCCTAGCAACTTTCATTGAAAAGTAAGTAAAATTTCACGTTTATTTTTTTTTATTTGTTTTGAATTGTAATTAAAAATATATTTGTTGCAATTATATATTTAATTATAGCTACATCGAATACGAAGACTTCATAATTTGAGTATGGATTTTCACACAGCCAATCGTTTGTTGAGATATCCACACACTTTTCAACATAATCTACCACTTGCTCAGGGTATTGTCGGTTTGAGAGATGAAGGAAATTTCTTAAGAATTCTTGGTTCAGATTTACGTGGTCCACAAGGAGTGCGTGAATACTCTACTCGAATAAATCGTGATCGTCCAGCTAGTACTGGAACTATAGTTGCCCGGCCTACTAGCCAAGTTGTGCCCTACAATGCTGACGATGAAGCTTCCAGATTTCGTAGATTGGTTTTTATTTCGTTTCTGTTTCTAATCTTTAGAGTAATGGTTTGTGAATTACGAAAAATGGGAATAGTAGATTAATTTTGTGGTTAACAATATTATGCTATTAACTAATGAAGGAATATTTAATTTAAATTAATTGAAAAGTACATATTTTGTTGTTTTATTTGAAGTGATACTGATTTATTATGTTCATGTATTGTATTGTACAAGAGTAGTTAAAGAATTATCCGTATACGATATATGGATGGTGTTCATTAGTTATAGTCATATTGTGATTAAAAAAATGTTAAGTTCAAAATCAATGATTTAGTAGTGACGAAAATTGTATTCCCTGTTTTGTACCTCTATAGAGTTTGATATTTGTCTTTCAACTTTAACGGTCATCGGAAGCTTATAACACTTTCTTTGGGATGTGTTCTAAGCTTTACGGTAGTATTACTAAGCTAAGCTGCAGTATTATTAAAATAGGTTGGGACTAAATTAGATTAATATAAGGCTTTTGTCTGTTACCACAAACACTGACAGAACTGGTAACGACATTGGTGAGTTTAAGGCACCCATCTCATTGATTAATTTGTGTATTCCTTATAAGCTTCATGATTATTCAGTGATTAATCTAAGATCTGCGTACCTCCCCGTGCGGAGAGTGATTTCTCTAAGATTAGATAGTGCTAAGTAGGATAGCCTGTTAATATTAAACAATTCTTGAATGTGTACTGCGTTATCATTACACAGCCCCTTCTAGAATTTGACTCCCAACTGACAGCAGAATCTACTTTCTGTTCTAGTGGCACTTATGCAGTATACTTCGTTGGAAACCGTACAACCCTTTCTGCTCGGGTCACCTTCTGTGCATGTTGAACACAGTCACTGCGGTTAGGTTCTTCCATTCCTTCTCTTGTCAAACTTTCCCCGCGTTCATTCGCCATGTATGCCGGTTTCACGCGGTCCATACTAACATTTACTGTCCGTCCTTTTTCCCTAACTTTTAAAGTTTTTTCGCTACGACTTACTTCATACGAACCCTCGTATGGCTGCTTTAATGGAGGAGGTACACCATCGTTACGTTGGAATATGTGTGAAGTGCTTTCTAAGTCCTTATGCACAAACGGTTTCTCCGCAATATAACGTGAGGTTTGTAACGGTTTCAGCTCCCTCATCGTTGCTTTTATTACAAGATCGGTAACAATGCATGTATATAATGCTGTATATATAATATATGATATAGCAAAGGAGACAAAACAAAAAATTAATTTTTTTTTAATTTGATGGGCACTTTTTTATTTTAATATTCTCTACAAATGACTCAACTATTTTTGCTTTGATTAAGAAAGTAATCATTTGACCAGTCCTTTCCCAAATTTGATTAACTCATTTTCTATACTAGATCAATATTAAAGACCTTAGAAACTTCCATATTAAGTTTAAGTAGTAAAAAATAAATGTCCAATACATAGGTTACCACTAGCACATCTTCCACTTCCATATATTGGTCCATAAACAGCAATAGTATAAGATACAACATTATGACAACGTCCAATAAAGGAACTGTAGACTCGTCTGACATTTCACAATAACAAATCAGACTGCAATAAAAAGTATATACTGCCAATATAATATTATTTATTTTTATTTTAAAATTTGTTTTCTTAGTTTACTAAAAACTTCTGTCAAATTGATTTCATGAATGTGTACTGCGTTATCTCAACAAAATATAGCTATACCAAATATATTCGAAACACTTCGCAACGACAAACAATTCACATGGCTTAATTATATTCAACTGTCAAAATTCTTCATCACCTCCAATCGCTATTCAAAAATGAAAATCTCTATGTTAAGAACAGGAAGCTGATATATATCCAAATAATTCGTCCGTCACTTCTATATGGATGTGTAGCGTTTAGCAAAGCCTCAAACAGTATTATTCGCCAGCTAGAAATTCCACAAAGCCAGGCTCTGAGTAGACTTTTCAAGGTACCATGGTACATTAGGACGAATCATATCCTCAGGGAGCTCAAGCTTGATCCGATCAAAAAATACATAAAGGATAGATCTCTAAAATTATTTATGAAAACTGACAGGCTTACCAATACCGCGTTATCAAATCTCAGAATGGTTACAGACACCTCGGGGAGGTATGCAGATCTGAGGTCAATTATTGCTTAGGCTGATGAAGTGATAAACATTAATCGAGTCAAGGCGTAAAGAGGGGTTTTGAAGCAACCTCGCTGTTAATAGAGAGTAAAAGTGCTCAAGTGCATTCACTCAACTAGCTTCAACATAATAATAAATTAAACTTCATGGTAGGGATGAAAAGAATGGGAATAATATGAAATTAATATCTACATCGAAATACCATCGATAGTAGCACTTCATTATCCAATAATATAAAAAAAACAATTTTATTAATGAGATTCAATTTAATTATTTAAGTGAAAATTCTGTTTTCAATGCATTTTTATCTATTTTATGAGTATTCTTCGCTAATTCAAGTAAAGTGTCCACAAGCGCAGCGCAGATAAAAACCACTTTCAGGATAGACACTCACTCGTATAGTCAGAAAAACGAAATGGCTATCATGCTATGCGGATTTCCGCTCGCGTGCTATTGTCCTAATGAGCGAATGAATTTTTAAAGCGCCACAAAGTATGCAAAAAACTATTTCACTCTCCTCTTTCATGTTATTTATTTAAAATTGCTTTTATATCGTATCGTTTTGCGGTATTTGCTTTTGAATTGTTAATCCTTAACGCGGAAGGAAATGTAGCGCGAACCACTACAATGGAGTGTTCGGAGTGTGGCGTGTGTTGTGGAAATGCTTTGCCAGCACTGTCAGTGCAGCCATTAGCGCGGTACTGTTTTTATTCCTGCCATCGCCGGTACCAATTTTTATTATGAATTGACTTGTCAGTGGGGCAGTTCGGATTTTTATAGGTGGCATAAATTTAATGTTTCTGCAACGGGTAATTAGAGAGGCAAATGCTGCCGCATTGCATTGAATGTCATTTTTTTTTGTCACTAATAGATTCGAATTTTTCATTGGTAATTACAATTTCATCAAATTTCAACTCAAATCCTTTGTGAGATTATCAGTTTAATCTTTATTGCCAAGTTTATGTACACAATAATTCAATAAAATTTATTTTGAATGATGATTGGTAGTTATATGATAAAACGATAAAAGTGATGTAGTAATGTGTTAAAAGGTAACTATATTTTTATTTTGTGAAATGGTTCCCATATACTTTTAGCTCCATAATAATAGCAGACCTTTTCAGTACTTAAATTAATCTGAGATATACATATATACATATATATTTTGTTTATTTCGTCTGATATGATATGCGCCCTTAAGTCATGAAGTTAAGTTAGTAATTTTGTGATAAATGTTATCATATATTTTCTATAGTACTGTGGAAACAAAGTATTTAAGATCTTCTGTGTACAGTGGCGTCGCTAGGCGTCAGCGATGTCGGCAACCGCCGACGTCCTCGCGCCCACAGGGGCCTCGCAAAAAGTTACCGGATGTGGATTCTACGCACTTAATAAATATTTTGAACAATTTGGTTTGATAATGGCATTAACCATATTCGATGTATTCCCGAATGTTTTTATAGTAACCAGATTCATGTTCACAGTTCCAGTCAGTATAGCTTCGACGGAAAGAAGCTTCTCATAGTTAAAATTGATTAAGACGTACTAGAAAAGTATTATGATCCAAGAGAGACTATCTCCATTGGAAATTCTATAAACTGAAGCAAAAATAGCAGCTGGCGCAAATTATGATATAATTTTAAAAAAAATTGAGTGAGGCTAAAAGTATGAAAATTCATTTATTTTAATTTGTGTTTATTTTAATTTGATTAACAATAAAACTGGGTCATAAAGGGGGCCTCGCAGTTCTGATGTCGCCGTCGTGCAGAGGTGGTCTAGCTCCGCCACTGTCTGTGTACATCCTGAATGTTAATAAAAAAATGTATTAAATACAAATTTTTTATAAAATTCTTCTTTTGGCTCTATGCAAAAAGAAGCTATTTGCTGATAGTAAATTAAACTGAAATAACATCACGAAATTACCGAGGTTCCGTATTGTGGACTACTGATCTACCTCTTCGCAAATGAACTGATTCAGGATACGACAGGCTAAATTAACCTGTCATAAATACTGGAATAGTATTCTGCCTTTTCCTTACTGTAGAAAAATGCCCTTCGCAAATAATTTGATTCAGGACATAGGTGACTGAAATTAAACCAAACTGTGAATTAAGATATTATTCAATAAAACAATTATCCACAAATTGGGAGCTGTATTTGCTAAAATGAAAGAGAATGAGGAATAGGATACGTAACAAGCTTTCTCTGCTTACTAGGTACTTTTTGGTTAATACCACTCTTTAATAAAATTGTTCAAGGTAAGAATTCCCATTGTATTGGTATTCCAAATACCACGGAATAACACTATAAAACTTGTTCACCATAGTCTAAAAATCTCGGATCGCATCCTTGATGCAGACATTACAAATAACGCAACCATTTCCTACAACCAATTTGTATTTGTATTTGCCATTTATACAAGGAGTATATAGCGTTTATCGATCTTAAAAAAGCAATAAACTAAGTACTAGAAAGCGTATGGCTATAATGAAGGAACTAGGCGTTACCGAAAACTGTAATTAAACAAGTTCTCTTCACTTATCTTTAACCCAGCTTGTTTTTTAAGAATACAGTTAGACTAATAAACAGCTATATGTGGAATTTTATTAAGGCTATGTTTTAAACTCGACGCTAATTAACTTGATGATAAATTGATTATCTGGTCCGGAATACATAGAGTAACCTATTTTAGACGCAGTACACTTAAATTATTTGCAATGTCAATAAATAGGTTTTCTTGAATTAAATGGGTTATGCTTGCGAAGAGCTGTGCGAAACCAAATATATTAAAAATTCCATTACAATCACAGTGTAATTGTAATTTCGAATTAAAATGCTAGAGTACAATTGTAATTATAATTAAGAAAATCGAATTCCAAACTACAAGTGAATAGAATTTGGAATTTAGAAGTTAGATTAGAATACTAATTGTAATTGAAAAAACCATATCCTAATTCCAGAAATTTTTAAAAGTATCTAAATACT